TTTTTTTTTTGCATTGTTGATTTGTTTTTCACCGAAGCAGCTAATAAAGCGTGATGGATTTTTACAATTTTGACTCTTTCTTGTGAGATTCTATAACAGAATGAAACAATAATGCCAGTTATAAATAAAGACAATAAATTGAGTGAATTATGAAACACTTATTTTATTTCTATTAGATCTGAAAATGTTGTGTAACACTACAACCTGAAATGACAAATAGATGCGTTGGCCTGTACAGGAGATAAAGAAAAAAAAAAACAACAGCTGTGAATCGTCCAAATCACCAAAGTAAACTGCACCTGGGCTTGTTGCAGGGATCTGAAGTTACTAAACATTTTGTGACTGTATGCACTCACACTTAGGACCATATAATAATAAATATGTGCGTGATGGGCAGTACTTACTCCACTCTGTATGCTCGTATGGGTCTGACCCTTTCACTCCTTTGATTTTTTCCTCGTACATTATTTTTGCCTTTGCCTGAACTCTGTCTCTGTACGGAGCTGCCGTGTGCTCCATCGTTTTGTACATCACTGTTTTTGGACCAAATAAAAAGCAAATAGGTATTAAAACCGCAGAATTAATGATTACCAGTGCTGGAAATGCTAGCGCTTGATGGAGTGTTTTGATTTTGTTGCCACTCGTACCCACAATGCAATGCGTGAATGTCACGTGGTCTGTCAATCTCTGTTTGGAAGACAGAATTTCTGCTCTGAGTACATCGAAAGCACCACGACTGCAGTTTTCATGTTGGATGTAAAAAGCGCACGTGACGCTGTGACGTAGGCTAGAATCATGGCGGCGGTCAACGACGGTCCAGCCGTGGGATTTCTCTTGTGGAAATATGCACGTTATCTTTTCCTTTCTGTTGGTAGGTGGCACAGTGCACTTGTGGCAAGATAGTGCTAACATGTAAGCAAGCTAGAAGACTGGCATCCTTGCTGGGTATCCAGTTAGGGAAGCAACACAATATTAAAAACAGAAATTTGAGTAAAACCAAAATTACTTTCCCTAGTAACTAGTTACTTTGAAAGTAACGAGTAACTTGAAGTAACTGAGTTACTTTTGATAGAAGTAACTAGTAATGTAACTAAGTTACTAATTTAAAGCAACTTACCCAACACTGTCTGACACACAACACTACACACCAACTACACAAGACAACACATTAACTACACACTACACGCTAAAAATCACAAATCTCTCACATCTCAAAGCTCGCTCTCTTTTTCTGCTGTCTCTCTCTCTCTGTCACTCCTAAAACTTCCCCCTCTTCCTAAACAACCAAATGTCATGTTGGCATATCATTTTTGATTGGCTGACATGGTGCGTTTTTCCACCAACACTTAGGCTACGTTCACACTGCAGGTCTTGATGCTCAATTCCGATTTTTTGATCAAATCCGATTTTTTTGTCTGCTCGTTCACACTACAAATAAAATGCGACAGCAAACGCGCTCTAGTGTGAACGCTCAAAGCGGC